TTTTGCCATATTAGTACTTTAGCTGAAATTTATTTTTAGTTGTCAAGACAACATTTCTAATTTCTAAAAAAGTTTTTCATCAAATATTTTACATTTTTTCTATTTTAATTAACAAAAATGTTTTGTTTATAGTTTTGGTTAACAATAACAGCACTGGACAACATGAAATAAAAATGGACCCTATTTGCTTTTTGTAACACATTCTAGGTCTTTTTGTGAACGATTCCTCAGTGCATGTTGTTCCAAAGAAAAATAATGTATGTCATTAAAATCTTTCATCAAAATTTAATAACTTTAATAACAAAAACATAAAGATTGTACTTAAATTTCTCCAATATTCTGAAAATTCCTTATTAGTGAATTTACACAGAAAAAACTCTTTTGCTTTAATTTTATTGCTTTTTAAAATAATTACTCATACAAAATTACATTTACATTTAGTCATTTAGCAGACGCTTTTATCCAAAGCGACTTACAAATAAGGACAATAGAAGCAATCAAAACTAACAAAAGAGCAACAATATATAAATGCAAATGACAAGTCTCGGTACGCAGTACATGTAGCAAGGGATTTTTTTAATTTTTTTTATCCAGAGCCAGTGGTGGTTTTGTAGGCAAACATTAATGCGCAGTGATATGAACAGTTATGTTTCTGAATGACAGAGCCTAGTGATGCCATGTAGACAGATAAGAGAAGTGGTCCAAGAACTGAGCCCTGAGGCACCCCAGTAGCTAGGTGTTGCGACTGGGAAACCACACCTATCCAAGATACCTTAAAGGACCTATCTGAGAGATAAGACTCAAACCACTGGTGTGCAGTTCCTGAGATGCCATTTTCCAATAGGGTTGACAGGAGAATCTGGTGGTTCACCATATCAAAAGCAGCGGACAGATCCAGCAAGATGTTAGAGTTGATGAAGGAGGGGGAGGAGGAGGACAAAGGAGAGAGGAAAATGTTCTAAAGATCATGCGAGAGTTCATGCGAATTGTTAATTTTGTTGTGATAGTATGTCCTTTTAGCAGTGGAGACATTAGCAGAGAATGAAGAGAGGAGTGATCGATATACATTAAGGTCAGTAGGATTTCGTGATTTGCGGCATACTCTTTCTGCAGCTCTGAGCTTAGAAAGATGCTCACGGAGAACATCAGATAGCCAAGGGGCAGAAGAGGTGGTATGAGCTGGCCTGGAAGACAAGGGGCAGACACTGTCTAAACAAGACGTAAGAGTGGAGCAGAAAGTATCAGTAGCACTGTTAACATCAAGAGATGATAACTGTTCAGGGGAAGGAAGCAAAGATGAAACCATAGCAGATAGCTGGGAGGCTATCTTATTATTGTGGAGATAGCCGGGAGGCTATCTTATTAGTACCATCTTATTATTATTATCTTATTATTAAATTATTGTGCTAACTTTACAGCTCTGCTTGTAATATGAAAAGGTCCCTTCTGTTTTTCAAAAGATTGGAACTTAGCTATTGAATGAAATTTTAATCTGATGTGTTTTTCAAACTGTAACCTGTACATCAAGATAAATCAAGTTGTTTTTTCTTTGTTAGTTGTCATGTCTTTGTTAGCAGATAGTTTTCCTCTAATTTGATTCAAGGTAAACTAACTCAGGTGCCTTGCTCAAGAGCACGATTGAGATTGTCATCAGTGTTCCTGGGCCGCCCTGTACAGCAATCAAACCCGCAACCTTACAAAAAACACAGAATAGATATTTCATAATGGACCTGCATAGCATCAAATATCACACTGTGTTTTACACTGTGTATCACACTGTGAAGCATTTAATAATTTTCTGCATTTCAGCAGTGGAACCAGCCACATTCCCAACTGTCTTTAATTTAAGACTCCAGTTCTTTCCGTGTTGAGATGCAGATGCAGGCCTGGCTGTAAAAAAAAAACAAAAAAAACATGTGTATGTGTGTGTGTATGAGTATGTGCTGCATCTTTCCAATGTGAAAGTGTGTGTTTTCCTGAAAGCAGTATCTGGATGCGAGCCAGTCTAAACGAGGCACATTAGCACACGTAATGCTATCGCATTTGCCAGCCAAGCGCCTTATAAAATCTTCAAATTCCACTCTACGCTTTGAAGTCAATTGCATTACTTTTAAAGCATGGATATTTGCAGTTGTTACCCTTGTTCAGCACGTCTTTAGTGCATGAGGTATGTTCTGCAGTTCTCTTTTGAAGTTTTCTGAGGTAAGTTAACTAAAAACAGCAGCTGTGTTGGTGAAAGAGATTTTTTCTGGGCAGGGGGAGAAGCAAACCCTGTGCGTGATGAGAGGTTAAGGACAGATAAATTGATGGTAAAGTACAATCACTCTGTCAGAAGCAGAAGACCTGCAGTCTTTAATCTTGCATGAGCCCTGGAGAGCAGAATGTCCTGCTGGCGAAGGAACGGCAAAGAGAAATAGTCTCTTTCCCCCCTCTACTCCATGCATGCTAGAGTGAAAAATTAGATTCTGTTCTCTGTAAAAGCATATCGGTGTAATTAACGCTTTTGTCCTCTATCTAACGATCATAATTACATGCAGTCTTCCATTTAATTTCCACCCAGAAATTCCTCACTGGCAGCCATGGATCATCTTCAGATCCAGTTCACTAGAACAGGCCTGTGTTTGACTCAACACGGCTCATGTGGACATTGTTCCAGATTTACGAGGGGGAGGAACACATTGCACTGCAGTTTGTGGTGGTTTTTTACACTCTGATTAATGAGAGGAACAGACTGTGGATTATATTGTACATGTCTGTGTTTAGACAAGTAGGAAAGTTGTAGGGTTTGCACAGTCTTTGTCTGTTGAACTCTTAGCCAACATTTGTGTTACGGTCATTTTGAATGAATTTTTTTTAACGTATTTTACGTATAAAGGAAAACTAAATTTACTCTTTTGAAAAAAGAACCTAATTTTCTCCTCAGTGAAAGTGCAAATATTATGCAGAACAATCAGCCAATCAGAGCAGATGTTTAAATGAATTATTTCGGACCAATGAGATTTCACTGTGGGTGGATCTACTGAGAATGACGCAAAAGTCCCTCACAATGGCATTAATAAGTACATTAATACACTACTGATTCAACATTGATTCAACATTGATAAGTGTTAGAAATATTTCTTGAGCATCAAAACAGCATATTAGAACGATTTCTGAAGCATCATGAGACATTGAAGACTGGCGTAATGATGCTGAAAATTCAGCTTTGCCATATAAATGTAAGAAATTACATTTTAAAATATATTAAAACAGAAAACAGTTGTTTTAAATTTCACAATATTACTGTTTATGCTGTATTTTTGATAAATGCAGCCTCTGTGAGCATAAGCAACATTTTTTGGGCAACATCTAAAAATCTTCTTTCAGCAACATTTAAAACCCCAAAAGTTTGAATGGTAGTGCGTATTCAAATAGTTCTTAAAGGTACAGTAACAACAACAGCCTTTTTCATTTTAAAGGTCACAAAAATGGTGTAAAATGGTAATGTTTTTGGATTAAGGAATTGTAACTAACATAGATTGCAGAAGAAAAATTAAATGTTATAAAATTGATCATATGCCATCCTTAAATAGTGTATTTAAAAGTTAACATTGCCTTTAATATTTACTTTGTGTAATTTTATTTTTATAAACTCTACTCGAGATCTGTTTATATGGAGATGCATGATCTGTCAGTAGTTAATCTGTGTTTGTATTTCTCCTGCTAGAATTTCACCGTTCATCAAACAGCATAAAATATTTCAGTAAAACACTTTACACAGACTCAAAGAGACAGAATGTGTGTGCGTGTGTGTGTGTGTGTGGCCTGAGTTGGCCCCAATGTGTATCCCTTTGAAAACAAAACTTTTCTTTGTATCCAGTGAGCAGCACACGGCCTGTGCAAGTGCTGACTTGATGAGTTCTTGAGTGTCTGAGAGAGTTCTTATAGTCCTTATCACCAGTCTGCAATCAAACATTTCACTATGTGACCTACACCGTCATCCAAATGTTCTTCAGAACTCTTCTGATAGAACAGATACACTAACGTTCACACAAATAAATCCCAATCATCCATTCATTTTTTGCATAAAAGGCATGTATGTGTGTGTGCTTTAATGCCTCTGTGTTACTATCTGGTTTCTAGGGTCTTGTAAATGGTTTTAGCACATCGCTATGCAGTTGTTAGGTTTTTCTATGTGGTTTCTAGGTGTTTGCTCTCCCACGTCTCCCATGCTGAAAATAAAAAAAACCCTGTTAAAACTGGCCTAAACTGACTTGCTGGTGTAAGATGGTCTTCAGCTGGTTGGCAAAGATGGTTTGTAGTTGTGTCATCAATGGCACTGACATGGACTTTCAGACATTTTCTAGATTCCAACACCCTCTTTCTGTCTCCTTTTCTATCTGACCTCTGTGTTCTCTCACCCTGAGACCTCATTCAGTTCATAATTAACAAAACCCCCAGAATCCATCTGTGCATTCCCTTAGGATGAGGTTTAGTCACATACAGGGCTCTCCATTCTCACACTGTTCAGGCCATGCGTGCTGTTTTAATCATAGTTCATAAAACACCTCAGTCTTTAAGACACGTTTCCAGACGATTTACCGGCAGAGGGAAGTTAATGATTTGCAAGTGTGAGTTACTGCATTTAATGTTGCTAAATTTCTACAATATGTCCATGTAATTTTTCCAGTGATTGATGATCAGAAGAAATGGACAGCACCTGAGTTAAATATATGAGTGTCACAGCAAAGGGTCTGAATACTTAGGACCATGTGATATTTCAGCTTTTCTTTTTTAATAAATCTGCAAAAATGTCAACAATTCTGTGTTTTTCTGTCAATATGGGGTGCTGTGTGTACATTAATGAGGAAAAAAAATTAACTTAAATGATTGTAGCAAATGGCTGCAATATAACAAAGAGTGAAAAATTTAAGGGGGTCTGAATACTTTCCGTACCCACTGTATATATATATATATATATCCCATTGTCTTTGATTAATCTCCCTCTCTTTCTCCTTCAGTGCCTGGTAACCTGGGCTGTTTTAAGGACAGCGGTGATCCAACACCTTTATCTGGAGGCTACCAGACCTCCAACAAACTCACTATTCAGAACTGCATCAACTTCTGCCGCAACCAAAGATACAAGGTACTATTTACACGATGGGAAATGCAATCAACAGCAAGTTATAGAATAATTGATTATTCTATGCATTAGTTGCATATTATTTGATGGATAAGTTATTACACCACATTACTTTAGTTTGGTGTCTTGACGTCTCGAACCTGACTACATCCACATCAGGTTCATTATTATTAATCAATGTTTTGCCACATGAATATAGAATTCAATTCATGCTCGGTTACATATGTACATTTATTTGGTACTTCACAAATTTTTAATTTTGACTTATCCAATCAGATTTTATAGCTAAAGTGATCTGTTTTATAAAACACAAGTTAACTCATTATGTGAGAATCTTATATTAAGTCATATTTTATCCCCAAATCAAAAGATAAACAATGGTAAATTATATTTTACGTAAGATTCTAAATGTATTCAAACTAAACTAAACTATATATTTTTTACTTTATATATATATATATATGGTTTAACTTGATGTACTAAAATAAACACTAAAATGAAAATAAAAATGAATTAAAACTATATAAACATAAAAAACTACTAAAAATGATGAAAACTTTAAACATAAAATGTTAACATTAAAATAAAAAAAACAGGAAATATAAAAACTGATTAAAAATAATAAATATTAAATATTAAAAAATATGTGCATTACTATACACATTTAAAAATGATGTGATTTTTGTCCTGCCTTATTCAATCAAATTTTTTTTTCACAGTTAATGAACTGACTCAACAAAAAATAAATAAATAAGAATCAATATATGTTCTAGATGTAATCATGTGCATTTGCTTGCGTGGGAAGAAATCAATAATATATATTGTATTTGGCTTGCTTTTCTGATTGTCTGCACCCTTGGATTGCTCTGGTTTTCATTTGAGGATTCTTTTCTTTCAGCTTGCCGGGATGGAATCAGGCTATGCTTGTTTCTGCGGCAACGACCTTGATTATCATCGTCACGGTGATGCTCCAAGCACAGAGTGTAACCATGTGTGTTTTGGAGATCACACTCAGCCATGTGGAGGCGACGGACGTGTCATAGTCTTCGACAGTAAGTTTTCATAGTCTCATTACCTTACCGCTGATTCCCAAAGTTAAGGATGGATTTAAGGACTAAACCTTCCAGGCTTCCTTTCATTATTTAGTAAAAGCTGAAGCTGTCACTTTTCTCCTATAGCAAAAGTAGGCGCTTGTGGGGGAAACTACACGTCACCCTCTGCAGTAATCTACTCTCCTGATTTCCCGGACAAATACAGACCTGGCAGGGTCTGCTATTGGACCATTCAGGTACAATTAATGCTTTAATATCCTAATGGAGAGAGAGACTGCTAGAGCCAAAACACATAATATGTATCTGGCATACTGATAGCTGTCTGGTCTTTGTCATGTCGCTCTTCCAGGTTCCAGGTGCTTCCGTCATTCTGTTCAACTTTACTTTCTTCAATATCGTGGATCAGACTGATATGGTGGAACTGTTGGATGGCTACTCCAATCAGGTGGTGGCACGATTCGATGGCCGCAATCCACCGCGGGACATCGTGAACATCACTGCAGACTTTGTCATTTTGTATTTTTACTCAGACAGGACAAATGAGGCACAGGGGTTTTCTATTCTTTATCATGGTGAGGATTTCTTTTGATTTAACATTTGACTGACCGCTTATATATGGTCATATCACTGCAGATGATGCACAAAAACAGTGTGTGAAATTGCTCATATCTGCTAAAAGATTACACTACTGTTCAAACGTTTGTGGTCAGTTGGATCCATTTAGTAATTAATGCTTTTATTCAGAAAGGATGCATTAAATTGATTTTTTTTTTTAAATCTTGAGCAGCAAATCTGAATATTAAAATGATTTCTGAAGGATCATGTGGCACTGAAGACTGGTGTAATGATGCTGGAAATTCAGCTTTGCCATTTTTTTAATATATTAAAATAAAAACCAGTTCTTTTTTCCATCTAATTTTCTATTTAAAACTATTTACAGTTATTTATTAATACTTTCCTTACAATATTAAAATTTTTGCTCTCTGTTTGTTCAAATGAATGCATATAAAATAATAGTTTCTTATGTTTCTTACTTTTAAAAAACTTACAGACCCCAAACTTTTGAGCAGTAGTGTATTTTGTCGACTTGTACAACTACACTAGCATATAGATGGCCTAAAAACAGACTAAAAACAACAAAACTCTAAAATTGTAAGTGAGGACACCAAACACAGTCGGTTGTATTTTTATGACTTTAAAATAAAAATAGTCAAAATACTTGAAAGATAGTCTTAAAAATAAATAAATAGAAGCTAAATACGTGTTAGTAGTGCTCTAGGGCTGCTTTTTGTCATATCTTGACAATTTTCTGACGCGCTGACATTTTCTGTTGTTTTATTTTGAGAGGCAGAGTTCAATAACCACAATCTGAGGAAGAATAAAAGGGAGTGGGAAGTATCAAATGGAAAAAGTTTTTTTCTGAAAGAAAAGGTCAGCAAAGCAAATTGGCTTTCACTATTCACAGAACCTTTTTCCCCTGCAGGCAGAGTTTGATTCAAACACCACATACTGCGTTTATATCTGCGTCTGCAATGCTGAATGAAAGACGTGATGTTATTTTGAAAGAGCTGAGAAATCTCTCTCCGTAATGTCCGGGGGGACGTCAAAAGAGACGTTACGAATTTTAACCAGATGATGCATATCTTATCAAGGAATTTTTGCAGTTTTGTTTGTGTTTCATTAGCTGATTGCCACATATTATTTCCCCACAGCTTTCAGAAATCAAGCAGTCTCACCTGTGGAGGAGGATGATGATGGTGATGAAGAGGACACCAGTACAGTGAGGCCCCGTACAGGAAGCACTACAGCAAAATCAAATACCAGTCAAAACGGAAAATCCTCCCTCCGGTACTACGTAATCACATCAAGTCCTGCAAACATGCCAGGTCAGTGGCCTGGACCGGGCCGGACCGAGCGCCACAGCACCAGTATGTGTCCAGTTCTCTTCATTACACTCATTATTCATTCTGCTCCTCTTACTCCTTTCCACACTTACTTGTCATACTAGATATCATCACCAACTAGATGTAGACTTGTAGCCTGGTGAGATTACATGACAATTTCACTGCATACTGTATAAAAAAAAGAATGAAATATCACCTTACCCTTGTATTTGTGCAGCAATTTTTTGCCAAGTATATTAGAAATGTATTTAGGAACTAAAAAGTCATATCTAGTTTTTTTTAAAAATGACAAGGAAGGAATATATATATTTTTTAATGCTCCAATATAACCACACATAATAATACATAGTAATAATTATCTACAAACACTACCATTCAGAAGTTTGGGGTTAGTAAGTATTATTATTTTTTAAATAAATTAATACTTTAATTCAGCATGGACACATGTTCAAAAGTGTCAGTAATGAATTTTACACTGTTGCAAAATATTTTGAGAAATATGCTGTTAATTTGAATTTTTTATTAATCTTTCAAAGAATCCTGAAAATCCTGAAAAATGTATCATAGTTTTCACAAAAATATTATTATTATATTATTATTAAAATTGTTAAAATATTATTATATAGCATATATATATATTTTGATCAAATAAAGGCAGCCTTGGTGAGCATAAGAAACTTTTTAAATAAAAATTTAAGATTAATTTAAGATTTAAAAATAAATCTTACTGACCTCAAACTTTTCAATGGCAGTTTATTTGATTGAATATTTTTTAATTATATGAAACATGCCACAGGGAAACTTCTGAAAACCTTTTTTCTACTAAAGGCTAAATCAGATATGCTATTAAACATATTAAAAATCACAAAACTAGTCCAATAACACAATCTTTAGGGAACCTAATGGCCATGTATAAAGTGCATAAAAATTACCTCAATATTCACAATGTTGCTTAATTTTATATTGCAAGGAAAGTTCAAATAAATATATTGAATATTATTTGCTACAGTTATTGTTACTGAGATCAAATTGTGGAGGCTGTTAAAATATAAATTTACCAAAAAGAGAAAGATTATGAAAGCTTCCTTGGAGATCCCATATTAATTCATTATTATTTTACAGTAGTAAAATTACGTTTAATGTAGGAGCTGGGGAAATGGTTAATATATGTTTTTTGTTAGCTTTTAAATTTTCACTTATGTTAGCTGTGCTTTACATTTCCATAGCTAGCCACTCTTTATACTATTTACTTGAGTTTTCACGAGTGATAACCTTATCTTTCAGTACAACTGTAATTATGAGGCTGCATTAGTTTTACTGTCACTGTTAAACGCGTTGTGTTTTACAGTGTGGACCATCTATGCATTAGCTGCTCTGCTAACGCTAACAGTCATAGCCATGGTGGCCAAACTGCTGCTGCATCTTACTGTAAAGTAAGTACATATGCTACAAAACAAATGTTTTATGAAGTTCTTCAGTTTAAGATGTTACTATAAAGCATCAAATAAAGAATTATGATTATGATTGATTTAACTACCAGTTTTTATTGCAGGTAAAGGAGGGCCATGCTTTGATCTGCTACTTTATCAGTACACTGTTGGCAGATTTATAGTGTCCATTTAGTTGTTAATAGACTTTCGCCTGCACATTTTGCATGTAATTTGGTTTTACCCGGCATATTGTAGCATACATAAAAGTTTGATTTGAATCAACTTCTCCTTTCTCGTTCCTTATCTAATTTTGTATTTGTCTTCCCCTCTCAGATCCCCATCCATTCCATCAATCAGCGGGTCAGATTCGTGTGCACAGAGCACTACGTCTGAACCCTGGATCATCTTCTACAGACCTTCTACCATCTCTCTGTTTAAGAAGAAACTCAAGAACCACCATGGAGACCTCAGCCCTCTCGTGGGAAACTAACCTTAACGCCTCTGACCTCTATGGCTGCTTTAGCCCCCTAAATGATGCACACACTGTACGCAATGCCGGTCTTCTGCTGCTGGGCTACAAAAAGGCATCCGATCGATGCCTAATTCACTTCAAATGACCAGCGCAGGGTCCAGCCTATATGTGCCGATCAGTTGTTGGTAAAAAACGAACAAACTGCGGAAAAAGAGCTTGACGCTAGCCGATGCGCTTACTCTCGATTTGCATCTTAACCAATCATGTGACAGGTGCACACATAAACCAAGCGATTTGATTAGCAAAAGAGTGCTGGGATGTTTCTGTTGCCACAGACCAAAGTGAACAAATGACCACTGGTGAAAAATGAATAGTGGCCCAGTCGTTTCTCCAGGTGCCTTCACAGAAGTGATCAGCCGATAAGCGTCTGCATTAAAGCAAGCACAAGACTCCCTGTGGAGCACACTGAAAGACAAAACCACTTACATAACCAAAATAATGCCACGGTACCCAACCAGCCCCTGTGGAGGAGAGATACGATTCTGTTTCCCTCGCTTTTTAACCTCTAATGTAGGTCACCTGTTGTTGAGGAGCACAGAACTCCTTTCTTCAGATGTAAGAGAGCTGGCTGAACCGGCGGAGGATTGATGTCACAATCATGTTAGCAAGCACAAGACTCCCTGTGGAGCACACTGAAAGACAAAACCACTTACATAACCAAAATAATGCCACGGTACCCAACCAGTGGAGGAGAGATACGATTCTGTTTCCCTCGCTTTTTAACCTCTAATGTAGGTCACCTGTTGTTGAGGAGCACAGAACTCCTTTCTTCAGATGTAAGAGAGCTGGCTGAACCGGCGGAGGATTGATGTCACAATCATGTCGAGAGCAATTCGGACTCAAAGTGAACAACGAAAAAGTCTCGAGAGAGAGAATCGGCGAGAGAGCCAAAGCCTGAAATTGCTACAAGTTGGGCGATGTTCAAAATGAGCTGACATCCCTTTGGACCTCGCTTTCGTCTCTTGTCGTTTGTGTTGGGTTTTGATCTTTCTGCATTGCCTTTAAGTGCCTTCAGGACTGAAAAACCTCTTTTGTCTGTCTTCTATGCTGTCACAATGTCTCGATGATGTAAACAAGCATTGATCCTTCGGAGCATTGAATTGCAAATGAGAATAAGCACTAAGGAAGTGTTTTTTCTTCTTGGGGATTCTCAAGACAAATGTAGTCCTGTGGGTGTCATTGGGGCATATTATTCTTGTCAGGTTTTCGACTTGAGCAAGAGAAGCATTGAGATGAACATTGTGTAATTCTGTGTGGGAACAATCAAACATCACCCCCTTTCATTTCACTCCCCAACAGAGGCAGTGGTGAAATTCTTCCAAAACAATTTGCTCTTTCTCCCCCTTCACCACAACTTGAGCTCTCACATTCTGAAGCACTTTTCCAGACAGCCGAAAACCATACGGATCACTGTACTGCTTGCTGCGAGGATTGAGGATGTTCCTATGAAGGAATGCACAAACCGGTTAAAATGGATAGTTCATCCAAAAATTTACATTCTGTCAACATTTACTCTCCCTCATGTCGTTCCAAACCTATATGACTTTCTTGGAACACAAAATAAGATATTTTGAAGAATGATTTATCCATACATTGAAAGTCAGTGAAATCATTAATGCCTCATTCATGAAATATTTTTGTGTGTGTGTGTAAATTGTTCATAAAGCCGCTCTGACGCATTCACAAAAGTGTTTGTATTTTCAAAATGTTAATTGGTATGAAAAAATTTACACCTGCTCCCAACCATGCGTAAATGGTGCATAAAAAAAGTTAACATTAGTTATTTACCTGTTTATTATCGATTATATATTATGCATTTACAGAAAAAGGCACATTGATTGTACCCAAATGACTTTCATTGTATGGACAAAAAAGTGAGTAATTTATGACAGATATTTCATTTTTTTGAATAAACTGTCCTGTTAAGTGTCACAACATTTAGCTTGCAGGTTTCAGCACTTGCACAGCCATCAGTCACACTTCAACAGTTTTGTACTTAGTTCTGTGTGTAGTACTTAATGTGACTTTTAGTAATATTGTAAAGGCCCTTTTGAGAACATTCACATGGGTGATCAACATTACCTTATTTGTGGGTATGTCACTAATGCCACTCTTACCGACAAAAACAAATGAACAGTCACTACATAATGCACTTTAATACTGAAGTACTTATCTTGTGTAATGTTTTATGCACAACCAAAAGCATTTTTTATTTTTTTAAACTGATCATATCGCAGCTTGCATCTTTTGAAAATCAATATTGTATAACAAAACAAATATGTAAAAAAAAAAAAAAACTCAGTTAAGCAAGCCACCCATCAAATTCAATCGTTTTTCCTCAATCCAAGTATATTTGTCTGACCTGATGCTGTATTTTGGTCGTGTTCTCATCTGCACTCTGTTAATTATTGCATACTTCATCATACCCTTGGCTCTGCAGTGCCCGGGGCTGCCCATGCATACTAAAGTGTCACCAGTCACAGAAAGAGAGAGAGAGACAAACCCATAGTGACAGGTTAAATCTAACAAGGTCATATACATCTGGAAAGGCTGGTGAATAATGCAGAAACCACAACCAGGCGTCCATTTAGATTGCAACGCCCGAACGCCATAGCAATTTTAGCAGTGGAAAAAAGTGTCAGATCCTTCTGTGGTCTATCACAATGTCAGTGGGCCTTCCTTCTGAGAAACCAAGATAGGAATCTCTCCAATTTTGGGAAAGGGTGCTTCCAGGGATAATAAAAAAAGATGTTGTTTTCATGAAATTGTAAATAAAATAGTGAGAATTTTAATTTATACCATAAATTATTGTTATTTTGGATGTAAAATGGGATATAGTCTATCTTTTGTATAAGTACCTTTGTAGTTTTTATTTAATGTGTCCTGAGTGCAAAAATAAATATGCATGTTTCTTATGCCTGTCGTGTTTGCTTTGTACATCATGAGTTGTCGCTAATGTCCTTTTTTATTAATGACAACATGCAATCATTTACATAGAGGAGAGAGGGAATTTACAATGCAAATTAGATATTTCAGTAGACTCCAAAATTTGCTTGCAGGATGACCAAAGTTTCACACACAACCACAGCGTTCTTTTGAAAAGATATGACATAAAGAGGGAAATAGGCAAACAAGAATGCATTTGAAAACTAGACAGACCTCCAAAACACTAACATCTGCTGAAGAGAAAAAAGCAAAGGAAGGAAGAAATTCAGCTCTGATGTTTTCTGCGTTGCTCAAATGCTTATCAGATAAAATGACTACCAGACGCAGAGTGGATGCACAAACAAAGCCTGTATTACAGGCCCCATGTGTAAGCCATTTCCCCTGTGTGTGTGTGTGTGTGTGTGGAGGCCCGGCTGCCCACCTGCAGATGTTCATGGTATGTGAGGTGAACACATTCACAAAGTATTGCAATGCAACACAAATGCACATCTGCTGAAGAGAAAAAAGCAAAGGAAGGAAGAAATTCAGCTCTGATGTTTTCTGCGTTGCTCAAATGCTTATCAGATAAAATGACTACCAGACGCAGAGTGGATGCACAAACAAAGCCTGTATTACAGGCCCCATGTGTAAGCCATTTCCCCTGTGTGTGTGTGTGTGTGTGTGTGTGTGTGGAGGCCCGGCTGCCCACCTGCAGATGTTCATGGTATGTGAGGTGAACACATTCACAAAGTATTGCAACGCAACACAAATGTGAATCAGAAAAGAAATATCATTTATCAATGAGGTTTGTTACTGATCTGTATAGCCTAAATGATGCACTCAGAGCTAATTGCTAATGCATGTATTAAATCTGTGGTGATTTGTCTGATTACCCCATAAACCCCATCATCAGCCTTCACTCATTAAATAACCACATAAAGCCACTCAGAAAGGCAAACAACAGTTCGTCATTCAATAACATTATGCTGAGTTTAGACTGAACTTAGCATGACTATGAATCCTATAATGCCCTCTACTGGTAGTGGTTACTAAACACGTCGATTATTGTCATTTCTTTAAAAAAAGAGACTTTAAGTTTTTCCCAATTTCCACTGCCGCGTCGTGCGTTTTCAAAGCAAAAACACGTTCTGTGTGATTTGTGAATGAATGCCGTTTTAATAAGTCCCGAGACGGAGCCCCAACACATCGCGGGGGTGTCCAGTACGCCACTGGATGTCATATCGCTAAAAAAGTTTTGTAGTCCATGAAAGATCCACCGGAACTACAACTCGTCGCGTTACGGATTTATGACGCAAGTGCTTACGTAACTGAACTTGAGCATTCTGATAGCTCTTAATTGGGTCGAGGAAATACAGCCATTAAGAACAGTTATTTGCTCAGACTCTTATTCTGTCTTAATAAGTTTATTAAGTGGCAAGTCTACATCTAGACAAGACATATTATATGATATCCTACAAAGCATGTTCAAAATTCACCAATATAGATTAAGTATTTCATTTTTATGGG